AGGGGCCTCTGACATCTCTTCTCACGTGCCATGCCACTGTCCCTGACATTTAATGGACACTTGGCATTTACAGAGCACTCACACACTGAGCATCCTGCATGAGTCTCTGCTTCCCCCTTCCCCCTGGAGAGTTTACTCAGCCTCATACCTCAGTTTCCCCACCTGGAAAATGGAAGTGATGGTACTAGTTTACTACCTCTCAGGATCGTGGTGGGCAATAAAGGACACAGCTGTGAGTATTCCTGTGCTATTTTATCACAGGAATAAGGTTTGGGTGAAGCACAGAGTGGACAGTGGCTGAGCTGTGGCAGAAAGCAGGAAAGGCAGGTAGACAGGGCTTTGGAGAGCCTTGCTGCTGGGCTAGGCATCCTTAGGCAGTGGGGACACATGGGAGGTGTTTAAATGGGGGTGAGGGGTGGCTATGATCTGAGCCAGGCTCCAGGAAGTGTCTCTGGCAGCAGGGTGGGAAAGATTGGCAGCAAGCATACCAGGTGCAGTGGGGCAGAAAATGAAGGCCAGCATCTAAGATTACAGGGTGCAAGGGAAGTCTGAGAAGGGGTGTGAATGTATACTGTGTCTCTGCCCTTCTCTTCCTGGGCAGGCACAATTAGTGAATGTCAGCTGTGAACTAGGAACTGCACTTAGGGCTGCAGCCTGTGTCATTTCATCCAGTCGGAGGTGTTACTACTCTCCTTTTACGATGAGGAAACTGAGCCTTGGGAAGTTCCCAGAACTTGCTGAAAGTCAAGTTCACAAACCATCACAAACCAAGTGATGTAAGTGATGGAGTAGGAACCACAAAACCCAGATGTGGTTCCGGAGACTGGCCTGGTCTGTAGATGCCAGCCTCATTCCTTCATTGGCCATCGTGTGCCCACACTGGGCAGGGCCTCAGGCCATGCACTTGAAGCTTGGGCTTGGCAGATCCTTTGAGAAACAAAACCAAGTCTGAAGACCTAGATGTTCTGGCCCTCAGGCCTCAAAGGCATGCAGAGAATTGCAGCTTTCCAGGCCTCAGGGCCCAGAGAGGCACATCTCTGCTGCCTCCCCTCCCCTTGCTCTGGGATCTTCCACCCCTTCCTGTCTTTCTGGTGGAGAGGGAATCAGGAACAAGGAGGAAAGATAGGAACGTACTGTCTGCTTTGACAAGATTCAAGGCAGAATCTTGGGGTGAAGAGCTTCTCACATTGTTCGTGGGCCTCCTATCAGTACCTGAACGTACCCCCACATCTTACCTCTTCTTTATGCTGCTCCCCTTTTATTAGAGACTCTCCTTTAGTCTTCTCCTTCCTAACATTTTCTTCTCTCCAATTTTCTGCTGGTGACAGACAACTCAGGCCCTCATAACTACTTCCTACGGCAGTGGTTCTCTACCTGTGGGTCTCGACCCCTTTGCTGGTCAAACGGCCTGGTCACAGGGGTCGCCTAAGACCATCTTGCATATCAGATATTTACATTATGATTCATAACAGTAGCAAAATTACAGTTATGAAGTAGCAACAAAAATAATTTTATGGTTGGGGGTCTGTATGAGGAACTGTTTTTTCTTTTAATTTTTTTTCAGGCTTTTTTTTTTTTTTTTTTGGCCTGCGCTGGGTTTGAACCCACCACCTCCGGCATATGGGGCTGGCACCCTACTCCTTTGAGCCACAGGTGCCGCCCCTGTATGAGGAATTGTATTAAAGGGTGGCGGCATCGGGAAGGTTGAGACCCACTAGGGCCTCTGCCTCTTCTCCCTATTGTCATCTCTTTTCTCTCTCCTATCTCTCCTCCACAGTACTCCCTTTCCTTCCTTCCTTCTCCTTCTCTCTTTCTTTCTTAAGACAGAGCCTCACTTTGTCACCCTTGGTATAGTGCCATGGCATCATAGCTCACAGCAACCTCAAACTCCTGGCTCAAGTGATCCTCTTGCCTCAGCCTCCATAATAGCTAGGATTACAAACATCCACCTTAATACCCAGCCCTTCCAACTTTCTCGAAACAGGTTTTTATCTTATCATACTCTTGCTCAAGAATTTTCAGTGGCTCACTATGTCCTATTAATTGCCTATACAGACTCTCTCCCACTGTTTCAAATACACCAGCCTCATGGAGTCTTTCCAGAACCACTGCAATGTACTGTACCCTTCCCTAGGGCTCCCCCAGTATATATATATTTTTAATACATGTTGAGCATTCCAAATCTGAAAACCCAAAATCAGAAATCCTCAAAAATCTGAAACGTTTTGAGTGCCAACATGATACTACTCAAAGGAAATGCTCATTGGAACATTTCCAGTTCTGGGTTTTTAGATTTGGGATATCTCAACCAGTAAGTATTCCCAAATCTGAAAAATTCTCAAATTCAAAACATTTCTGGTCCACTTTCAGATATGTGCTACTCAACCTGTACTGCTAGAACAGAAGCCCAACAGAAACCTGGGAGTGGGCCACTGGTATAATTTTAAATTACCCCATAGCCATATTTTAAAACTAAACAGGTAAAATTAATTTTTAATGTTTTATTTAACCTAATAGATCTGAAATATTATCATTTCAACATATAATTACAATTAAAAAAAATTTTTTTTTGAGACAGAGCCTCAAGTTATCACCCTGGATAGAGTGCTATGGCATCAGAGCTCACAGCAACCTCCAACTCCTGGGCTTAAGCAATTCTCTTGCCTCAGCCTCCCAAGTAGTTGGGACTACAGGCGCCCGCCACAACTCCTGGCTATTTTTTGGTTGTAGATGTCACTGGTGTTTGGCGGGCCTGAGCTAGATTCGAACCCGCCAGCTCTGGTGTATGTGGCTGGTGCCTTAGCTGCTTGAGCTAGAGGCGCCGAGCTTAAAAATTATTGAGGTATTTAATGGTTCTTTGTAAAATACTAGGCTTCCAAATCCAGTGTGGATTTTACACTGAGCAGCACAGCTCAGTTCAGGGCAGCCACACTTCAGGTGCTCACTAGCAACACACGGCTGGAGGTGACCCTGCTGAACAGCACGGCAGTAGAGGGTGTCAGCCTGGGCTCTACTCCTGACCAGCCTTTCCACATGTCTGCTACACAGACCTTAACTGTGCAGGTCACTTAGTGTTACAGGTTGAACTGTGCCCCTACCTCTGCCAAATCTATATGTTAAAATGCTAACACTGCCCCCCCCCCCAGGTACCCCAGAATGTGACTTATTTGGAAATAGGGTCATTGCAGATAGTTAAACTAGAAGGCATCACACCAGAGCAGGGTGGGATCCCAATCCTGTATGACTGGTATCTTTTACAAAGAGGAAATTTGGACAGAGAGACACACACAGGGAGAGCACAGTGGGAACTTGAAAGCAGAGATAAGGGTGATACAGCCACAGACCAAGGTACCCCAGAGGTTGCCAACCACCACCAGAGACTGGAGGCAGGGAGGGAACAGATTCTCCCTCACAGCCCTGAGGAGCCCAGCCCTGCCAGCACCTGTATCTCAGACTGCCAACCTTCACAACTCTGAGACAATAAATATCTGTGAAGTCCCCCAGTTTGTGGTGCTTTGGCAGCCCTAAGAAACTAATACTCTTAGTTCAAGCAAGCCTCAGTCTCCTCATCTGTAATATGGGGACAATAAGCTAAGTAATCATAATAACTGACATTTTCTGAATACTTACTTAGCGGCTCTCGCTAGGCACTTTCCCAGTTCTCCTAAAAACCCTAGGAAGTGGCTACCACTATTAACCCTGTTTTCTTTCATGGATGGGGAAACTGGGTACAGAGAGGTGGAGTAACTCGCCCAAGGTAACTATAGCTGCTGAGTAATGGAGCCAGGATTCAAACAAGCTCTTTTAACTCTGACTTAAGAGCTTGTGAGAACCCACCTGGCAGGGCTGTTTGGGAGAAGCGAAGGAGCTCAGAGGTGGCCGTGCTCAGGAGAGCGGCCTGTGCGGTAAACAGCGGCTGTTGTGATTTTATCTGCAGCACCTGGCGCCAGCGCATTGTGTGTGTGCAGTGGAGAGGAACCTGTGTTCTTGGATGTCCCCAAGCCCCACCAGCCTGGAAACGGAAAAGCTTGCTTGCCCTTCTGAGGTTTCCCAGATGTGACAAAACGTTTTAAGTTTTGCTTTCCATTTAGTGGGAAACAGAAAGTCAGACCCAGAGCAGACATCACAATAAGCTAAAGGGCAAGAGGGTGGGGAATCTTGAAGCCACAAACTGGAATTTTGATGTGAACAGCCAGCCTGCTGTGGGTCAGAAGGCCAGTGTGGGAGCAAGACCTACTCTCAGCCCAGGAGGCTCTGGCCTGTTCTCCAGAACTCCAGAAAGAGCAGGGTCAGAGCCTCATGCTAGGGGCCTCAGCCAGCATCTAGCCCTCATTTCCACACAGAGCTCAGCACACACAGCCTGGTGTAAAGGGAAAAACAGGGAATGTAGCTTCTGAGTCACACTGTGGGAACATGAGGTGGGACTCACTTTCCCCGTTATAAGACCAGCAAGTTGAGGCCAGGGGCAGGGGCTCATACCTGTAATTCTAGCTCTTTGGGAGGCTGAGGTGGCTGGATCACCTGAGCTCACAAGTTGGAGACCAGCCCGAGCCAGAGCAAGACCCTATCTCTAAAAATGGCTGGGCATTGTGGTGGGTGCCTGTCATCCCAGCTACTTGGGAGGCTGAGGCAAGAGAATTGCTTAAGCCCAAGAGTTTGAGGTTGCTGTGAGCTGTGACGCCACAGCACTCTACCGAGGGCGACAATAATGAAACTCTGTGTCAAAAACAAAACAACAACAACAACAATGACCAGCAAGTTGGATCTAATGCCCTGAAGATGACTACCAGATGAGAGTCTAAGGTCCTCAGATGATGGGAAGGTTCAGGGAGGTGATGAAGAAGACACCAAGAGGTTTCTCCCCAAAGTGGTGTGGGAAATCTTAGACGCTTGGGTCACAGGTCACAGATAGGCCCTGGGGGAAGGATCTGAAGAGGAGGGGGTGGGGGGGTGTTTCTGCAGCACCCCGTGGTCTGGCTGGCACATGGCCCTTTACTCACCTCTAGCCTGGCCACAGCAAATGATGTGGCCTCCACCATGTGCTGCGGGGTGACCCCGCTGACCCGGGTCCTGTAATCCGTGATCTCCCCCTCAGGCCGGATGAACTTGTCGTAGAGAACTTCGCCGTAGTAGTTCACCAGGCTGCAACGAGCCAGGCCGCTCTCTCGGTGGGGCCCAAGCCCCACCATCTCACAGTCCATGGCCACTGCATCACGATTGCCAGCCATTCTCCTGGGGACCCTCAGATGCTGAAGAAAAGGGCATGGGGGACCACACACTTGCACCAATCAAGCCTCCAGGTGTCCTCGGCCACTCCCAGCCAACCTGCTTTCTCCGCCCTGCCCTTTGTCTCCAATGCCACCTGGACACAGAGGAAGCTGGCCTCTTGCCACCCCACCCGGCTTCCCCTACCCAAGGGTCCTGGGGCCCCTGGTCCTGCCCAGCAGCCTAAGGACCAGAAGGCCCCCTCCCCTCATCTCCAGCTCTCACCTGCCTGCCTCTGCCCTCAGCTCCAGGCTGCCTCTCAGTTGCCCTGCTTAGCACTGGCTCTCAGCAGTGACTCATCTCTAGTTTTGAGCAGGCATCCCAACTCTGTTTCAGTTTCTGGTTTGTTATCAAGTGAAGTCAGGGTGGAGGCTGGCAGAGGGGCTGGGCTGTTGCTAGCAGGTGGGGAGCTTAGCTCAGGCCTGAGTCAGGGCTGACGGAGGCAACTCCACGTCAGGGTGTCTCTCTCTTGTCACTTTCCCTCCCCTTTTCAGATGACGCATCTGAAGTGGATAAAGTGGATTGCGTCATCTTTCTTTCCTTTCTCACCCTTGGCCCAGAGAATAAACATCCCCAAGAGTGGAGCCCAGGGAATGCCCCACAACTTTTGGGGCCTGCTGTCAGTCTGATACTCTGAGGTCTTTTATGGGGGCAGGGAAGCTGGCTCTGAGGCTATGAACTGGGGTGTGCAGAAGGTTGTGGTGGGGGGGGTAGCCTCTACCACCAACTCAGGGAAGGCGAGGAGGCAGGAAGAAGCCCTTACAGTCCTCCATGGCTTCAGTGGCTCTGTCTCCAGCTGGTCTAACATTGTTTGAGGCAAGCAGAGGCGTGCCTGACTGCCTGATGGAGCCCTGCCAGCCTGGCCACCTATCCTAAGGTCTGCACTCTAGGCAGGGACTTGGAGCTCTTAGATCAGTCCCTGGCATGTGAATAACATGCTACAACTGAGGCAAAAAAGAGCATCAACTTGGGCAGCGCCTGTGGCGCAAAGGAGTAGGGCGCCAGCCCCATATGCTGGAAGTGGTGGGTTCAAACCCAGCCCAGGCCAAAAACTGCAAAAAAAAAAAAGAGCATCAACTTTCAACAAGGCAAACGCCTGTTCTATAACTGTGGGGGATTCACAGCGATGAGCTGAGAATTCCCTATACTTGCCTTCCTATCCCCGATCTGTGTGCGGTAAACATTGATCAGTGTGACCTGACTGTCCCTCATTATCACAAAGGCTTGTGGTCTGGGACAAAACTTCCCCAGATCTATGGTATTTTCCCCAAGTGGGATGCCTGACTTTTAACCTCAAAAATAAAACCAAATACTGAAATACATCTTGAGAGGGCATCGTGCCTGTTTGTTGTTCAGTTGTTTCAGTGTGAGGTACTAGACAGTATTTTTGGTTCCCATTCTGACTAAGCAATTTTCACTTGAATTCAGACTGGGGGCTTCTTGCTTTTCAAAAGCATAAAGGTCTGGTATGGTCAGTAAAGGTCTGATTTAGGAGGAAATAAAGCAAAATCCCTGTTACTTTCCATGAACATGCACTTAAAAATAACCCCCTCAAGTTCCAATTGGAGGATGGTTTGTATAATGCACATGGGGCCTCAAGTGGCCCAGCAGGCCCTGGACCTTCACCTCTACTCACCTCCGCAGGTCCCAGGCAGGACACATCTGTCTCTCCAATTCCGACTGCACTGGCTTGGGCCTGTCCCATGGATTCAACTCTAGGTCTGCAACTTTCTGTCTTCGCCAAGCTGCGTTTGAATGGTGGTTTCCCTTTCCTGGGCACACCCTCACCTGGACCTCACCTGCCTCCATCTTTAGGCTCTGCTCTTAATGATTCTTTGAGTCCTACCAGATTAAGTTTCTGCAAAGCCTCATCTCTTGTACTGTTCCTCATAGCACTTCTCTGCTCAAGAGCTTAGTGATTTACTGTTGTCCAAAAAATAAATAAAGGTCAAACCTCAACTCCCAGGAAGTTTTATCTGCCTGCCAGCCTTCCAAATCTTCTTGCACCACCATCCAATCTAAGGTCTCTCTTTAAGGTTTAAATGCACCTGTGACCCCTCCTAAACCATCAGGAGGTGCATCCTTCAGATGATGGTGGTGCCTAATCCCTGCATCCTGGAGGGGTGATGTGGGTGGAAGAAAAGGCAGCATTGCCACCTACTGCTCCCTCACCCTTAGCACTCCCCCTCACCCACCTTCTCCCAGCCTCTCCAGCCCTTCCTGTTCCTCTAGCACTCGGGCTCCTCTATCTGAACCTGGAAGTTTGAGATCTGTTCAGTCTGGAAAATTCTTTCTCCAGCTCATCTACCTACTTTACTCTCATTCCCTCAGTCTTTCCAGGAGGCCTTCTCTGGCTTTATTTAAAACTACACTTCCTATCCCTTTCCTGGCCTTTTTCTGTAGGAATTAGCACCACCGGAAACACCATACACTGGTTCATTCAATGCTCCCCTACCATGTTTGGTTCACTGCTTGGGGCCCCGCACTTAGACCCAGCCTCATCTGGGTCAGGCTGAATTGTTTTCAGATGTGTTGTGTGCACCAGTGTTGGACTAAGAGCACCTGGAGAGCAGCCCCTGCCCCTGCCCCAGCCACGGGGATTCCTGGTGATGCAGGCCACACCCACAAAGCTTTTTGGGTCAGGTGATAACAGGAAGTGTCACTCAGGGCAAATTCGTCAGTCTTGTAAGACACATATCCAGCCATAGGTGACCACCTATAATGACCACAGCAGGCATAAATAAAGTCTGCCAGTTTGCAGCCTTCTCTGAATTCCCAGCACTGTGCTCAGGACACACCCCAGTGGATGACTTGAAGTGGATGGTCAGAGGCAGCTCTCCCAGCAGGTAACCTGCTCTGCCAGCCCAGCTGCCTCCAACCTTGTTGGGCATGTACTCATAAAATGTGTATGTGTACTTCTAAACTACAGTTGACCTTTTTTTTTTTTTTAGTCTTACTATGTCGCCCTTGGTAGAGTGCCCTGGTGTCATTGTTCACAGCAACCTCAAACTGTTGGGCTTAAGTGATTCTCTTGCCTCAGCCTCCCAAGTAGCTGGGATCACAGGACACCCCCCCCCACCCCCACCCCCGTATATGGCCAGCGCCCTAACCACTGAGCTATGGGCACCTAGCCTAAGGTTGACCTTTGAACAATGGATGAACTGCTTAGGTCCACTTATACACAGATTTTCTTTTTTGGGGGGAGGGGGTCAGAATCTCACTGTTGCCCTAGGGTTGAGTGCTGTGGTGTTATAGTTTGACAGCAACCTCAAACTCTTGGGCTCAAGCGATTCAAAAGCCTGCCTTAATGCCCTCTATTTTTAGTAGAGATGGGGGGTTTTACTTAGTGAGGCTGGTCTCAAACTCCTGAACTCAAGCAATTCGCCCACCTTGACCTCCCAGAATGCTGTAAAGATTTTTTTGTCCCCATAAACTGGAAAACTTTTTGGAGATTTTTGGCAATTTGAAAAAATCTTGGAGATGCACTATGTTCAACATTACTAATGACCAACTAGGGAAATGAAGATTCAAATCACTTTATCAGCTTGTACCCATTAGTATAGCTACTCTCAAAACCCTGAAAATAACAAGCGTTGGCAAGGTTCCGTTGAAATTGAAACCTTCATGAACTACTGGTGGGAAGATAAAATGGTATCACCACTATGGAAAACAGTATGGTGGCTGGGTGCCTGTAGCTCAGTGGTTAGGGCGCCGGCCACATACACTGGAGCTAGCAGGTTCCAACCCAGCCCAGGCCTGCTGAACAACAATGACAACTCTAACAAAAAAATAGCCGGGCATTGTGGCAGGTGCCTGTAGTCCCAGCTACTAGGGAAACTGAGGCAAGAGAATCACTTAAGCCCAAGAGTTTGTGGTTGCTGTGAGCTGTGATGCCACCATACTCTACTGAGGGCAATGTAGTGAGACTGTGTCTCAAAAAAAACAAAAAGAAAAATCCAATATGGTGGTTCTCAAAAAATTGAACATGGAATTACCACTAAATATAGCAATTACCTTACTGAGTATTTATCCAAATGAACTGAAAACAGGGCCTCAAAAAGGTATGTAGTGTTTATACACTCATGTTCATAGCTGCATTATTCACAATAACCAAGAGGGGGAAGTAGCCCATGTTGTCCACCAACAGATGAATGGAAAAACAAAACATGGTATTTACAAAGGGTTTTTCAGCCTTAAAAAGAAAATTCTGACATGCTACAGCATGGATGAGCCTTGAGGACATCATGCTAAGATAACCTGGTCACAAAGAGACACACTGTGATTCCATGTGTGAGCTATCTGGTCAAAATCACAGGAACAATAGAATGGTGGATGCCAGGGGTGAGGGATGGAGGGAATGGGGAGTTTGTGTTTCACAAAACGAAAAAGTTCTAGAGATCTGCTGCATAAAAAATGAGAATGCATTTACCATTACTAACTGCATACCTAAAATCAGTTAACATGGTAAATGTTATATGTATTCTACAACTGAAACAATTCAGTGAGCACAGCCCTCCCGAGAAAAACAAGTTAAATAAACTTGTGCTCTATGACAGGGTAGTTACAAAAGACAAATTATATATTTTTGGCCACATCATGGTGTGCCATCTTTGAAGCTGCCCATCTTAAAGGCCAAAGCACCCAGAGAGGCTCAGTGTCCCAGGCCTCCACAAGTCCCCAACAAGCCACCCTCCACCCCAGCTTGAAAATTCACAGAAAGGACCACTTCACTCACTTTTCTAATCGAATTTTATTCCAGAGCAAACGGTGTTACTACCAGGCTAACTTTAAACAGCACATCTCCCCACAGGGAACAGCTTCATCTTCCTTCAACCCTCTGACCCAGCTTTGAGTTTGGCGTCACTACAGACTTTTAAGGAACACAGAACAAAGTCTTAGAGCCAGGCTAGAAGTGGCGATTGACTCAGCCAGCTCCTCAGTGTGCCCACAGTGTGGGAGCCAAGGACTGTAGTCTGCACAGAGTGGTAACTTTGCCTGAAGGGTGGGGCAGTGTGATCCCAGCAGTGTCCTCATTATCCTGCTCTACTTATTGTCACCTCCTACAACAGACAAGACACAGGGATAACCCTGAACCTCCCTGCTGTGTCCTCACCCCAGTCTACAACCCACCTACTGAACAGCCAGGCAAGCACAGTTCTGCCAGGGCCATGGCTGCTCAACCTGAGGGCCCTAGCAGTGTTCAGGTGTTATCCTGAAGAGGCCAAAACTAGTCCCTGGAGCACCAATAGCAGCCATGCTGGCTGTGGCCCTCATGTGCACAGCACGGTGCTGAGCACTCAGCACTGCACAGGGCAAAGCCGCATGCTTGCCTGAGGTCTCAAGCTAAGTGGCAAGCAAAGAAGGAAGTCAAAGGTCTGTGTAACCTGAGCTCTTGGTTCCCCCAGTACCTCAAAATTACCCCTCAAGAAACAAGGAAAGAGAACATTTTCAGAAATTAGAAGAAAACCCAACAGCTGTAGTGATCATCAAAGAGCTGAGAGGGCAGCACACGAGGCTCAGGGACCCAGCACAGCTGACAACACCCGGCCCCATTCCCAGGGGACACATGGAGGCTACCCCCCTTAGAGATCAGCAGCCCTATTCTTAATAAATAAATAAAAGTCAGGCCCATTCCAGCACAGGGGTCACAGAATTCAAGCCACTGTCTTGTTTCCCAGGCTTTTGGTTAACAGAGTGTAGTGCTGGGTGAACAGGGGACATCCCCTGATTTAGGTCCAAACAAATATAAGCTTTCTTACCCAAAGCTTATTTGCTTTCCATCTTTCCTGACTTCTGATATCAAGTACATGAAGGGGCCAGGTCCCTACTGGGGTCCATGGCCTCTGTTATTCCATCACAGCCTAGCAAGAGGTGAAAGGCCAAGCAGAACACTAAGTTCCCACAATGGCTGTAGCCAGAGTTTAAGGAGTATGAACTATCTCCTTTAGAGGCCTTAACATTAACTTCAGGGCACATTTATTCAGAACCTGAACATGACTCTGGACAAAGAGGTAGGTGGCACATCATGGACAGAACTTTACTCCAAGTCACTGAGTTAAGGGAGCTCCAGGGTACTGACACCTCCACCCAACACCCAAGGCGGGGGAATTATCCTTTCAGATAGCACAGCATATGACTCAGCTGATTTGGGTTGGGGGTGGGTCCTAGGAGATGTCTACCTGACTTCTCCATGGAACTTACAAAGTGCTATTAGCAAAACCACAGGTGTCAGGAGACATAACCAACAGAAGATCCTAACGCCTCTGGCCCTGGGGCCGGCTGGCTGTATCCTGCCCTGTCCAGGATGAAGCACCCAGGGCTCTCCTGCCAGTATCCACTCCACACACACACTGGGAAGGACAACCTGAGAGCTCCCTGTCCTCTCACTCCTTTCCGTCCTGGTCTTGCATCTGCCTCCCTCCTCCACTGCTCCCCTGGGCCAGGTCCTCAGGCCAGTACTGGTCCTCCATGTACTGCTCCATGTCTGTGCTGCTGTCAAGCTCTCTGTCCTCTGGGTGGCCCCAAGGACGGCTGGCCTCCTGCTGTTCCCACTGCACTTCCACCAGCCGGTAGAGCTCCATGGCTGTCGTGGCATCTTCCACAGATGAGTGCCCGTGCTGGCCCACCTGCAGATGAGAGCCGGCACACATCACTGCCTGCAGCCCTTGTGAGATGGATGTCACCCCAGGAAGCAAGGCCTAAGAACTCATACCCTAGGATGGGGGTGAGAGAAGAGTTGGGGCCTCCACTGTGCACCATAAGAATTCTAGCTTCTCTAAGCCTGTTTTCCTTGAATGTAAGAAATACTAAACACTATCTCCTGCTCTGTAGGCTTGAAGAGCAGGTGAACAATGAATATGACAGAGGGTTGAAGAATTACAGGCTCCCTCTGCTTAAAGGCTCTGTCTGGTTGAAGGAGATGGGGGATCATGCTGCAGGGACGTGGGGACAGAGCCTGGACTTAGTGGGGCAGACCTAGAAGTGATCAGGCTGGGAGAATGTGGACCTGGCAGTATAGGCAGTACACACCGGGGAAGAAGACTGTGGAAATAGCCAGGGCTGCCTGTGCCAGGGGAGTGCTTTATGCAAGGTCCTCGGACTGGGGCAGGGAGAGTGATAGGAAGCTGGAGGCACAGCCCATAGTCCTGCCCAAGGACCACTCGGCTTGGGGACCACCCCCTCCCAACTGCTCTCATCCCACACACCTGGATCTTCTTGTGCAGTAGCTGCAGGGCCAGGTCCTTCAGAGAGACCCGGGCTCGGGTGTGGGGACCGGGTGGGCTGAGGAGGTTTGGGACGTAGGTGGTATCCCGGGTTTGGCTCCGAGGGTGGACGTACTTGAGGGCCTGGAAGTCATTGTGCAGGGCGTGCCCCACCACCACCTTGCCCTTCAGAAGCTTAAGGATCTATAAGTGGAGAGAGGAGTCAAGAAGGCCCCACTGTCAGGCTGGCAGGAGAAACCAAGTTCCCCGGCCAAGAGTTGCATGGACCCCTCTACAGCAGTGGTTCTCAACCTTCCTAATGTTGCAACCCTTTAATACTGTTCATGAAGTAGCAACAAAAGTAATTTTATGGTTGGGGGTCACCACAACATGCAGAACTGTACTAAACGTTTGCAGCATTAGGAAGGTTGAAAACCACTGCTATGGAGGAACAGAGGACCACGAGCTCCGAGGTCCACATGCTGCCCCAGGTTTGAACCCACACCCTTTCATTGAGGTTCCCTGCACCTGCAGGGGACTCACAACAGCATTCCACAGGTGGCTGGGGATTACAGGAGGTCCCAGAGGGATGAAGCCTACTAGCTACCAGATACAAGCAACTCTACTGGTGGCTCAGGCTCTGCTCCCAGCTTGAAGGATGTCACCAGCCCTCCCCCACCACTCAACTCTTCCTAGCTCCTCATGTTGCAGGTCTCCGTCGTCACTCCCTGGGGATGCCTCCCTCATCTATGTTAGGACCCTGTCCTCAGCAGACTCATCACATTTTCTAAGTGCACATGACCTAGCTACCCCCTCCCCTGCTATAAGCTCCACGAGTGCAGGGACCATATTTGACTTGGTTAGTGATGCTCCAATGATAGCACTTATTGATAATAATTTATTGATCCAGGAGGGGATTAATAAAAACCTCTTGAGTGAAGTCAACAGAACCATGGTTGGCACTGGCAGCCACACCTTAAGTGGCAGCTCTTATTAGTGTTAAGGGACACAGTCCTTGTCATCCAGATTCTGTCCCTTTGTGCTCTGCATACTCACTACTCTTTCTTACCTTCTAAGCCTGTTTTCTTGCTCAGCTGGCACATTCCTCACACCCCATAGGAGGCCACATCCAGGGCGATGGGTTCACCCCTCCTCCAAGCCGTTAGCTGGCCTTGTGTGTCCTTATCACCAGCTGCTGGTCTCCAACTCCTACCCCTGCCTGCTGCATACAGTTTACTGCTGAGCCCAGCTTTTGTAGTAGATGAGTAAGATACATTAAGACTTAATGAGAGGGCCCTGACACACTGGTCACACGCCAAACTCCCTGCCAACAACCATAAAGTAGGAAGAGACCAAGCACAGCCAACACTGGCTCAGAGCCTGGACAAAAGTGGTCCTGCTCTCAGAACTACCACCCACCAGGTCCACAGAAGGGACCACAGACACTTCCTCCCCCCATTCTTTCTATTCCTGACTAGCCAGCTTGATAAATATTCTCTAAGTCATTTCAGAGGAATACTTAGGCCCAAACATTATGTGAAAAAGTAGGACACATGATGATATATGCCATGATTTCCCAAACTTCCCTAACTGCAAGAATCTAGAATTGATTTTATGGTACGAGTCTGCTGAGTACAAGTTTTAGGATATCAGAGCTCTCCCCAAACCTATAGACCTACTGGACCAGTCTCCAAGGAGAAATCTGGGGACAAGGACCCTAGATTGTTAACAAAGTTTTAGGTGTGGCCTATGGTGAAGCACATATGGCAGTTCCTGGTATGTGAGTGTGGTCCCAACCACTAATTTTCAAAGCACTGAAAAACAAGAAAATATGCCAAAACGTTAATACCTGAAGATGACATGACTGTGGGCCTTAAGAATTTTATACAGATGTGGAAAATTTTATAACAGAAATAAAATTTTAAATGTTAGCTGTTTATCACCTGACAGTTGGCACAGTCTTTCTATAAACATCCTCTTGTGTTAATGCCTCAGCAATCCTCATCCAGAGGTAGTCAAGATTTTTATTCACCCTAGTGGAAGAGGAACCTACTATTTGGAGCAGTCAACTGACTTCTTGGGTTTCCTCCCCGCAGGGGCAAAGTAGCAACTCTTCCAGGGCTGCTTACTCCAGCCCACCATAACTTCCAAACAAAATCCCAACCCTGCCCTCACCTCTTTCTGGGCCACCTGGAAGGGGATGGCCTTGCGCATGTGCTGCCGAGTGATGCCACTCCAGCGAGTGCGGTAGTCAACGATGGGCATCTCAGGCCGGATGTACTTGTCATAGAGGACATCACCGTGGTAACTCACCACGGAGCAGCGGGCCAGCTCGCTCACCCGCCCTCGGGGGCCTGTGCCCACCATCTCACAGTCAATAGCCACGTACTTGCTGGGCAAGGGCCCTGAGGCTTCCCTGGGGGCAGGACTTCTGCTGCACTGGGGGCTGCCAGACGCAGGCCTTGGATGCTGCTTTCTGCTGCTGGCAGCGACCCCCGACGAGGTGGGCAGTGGGGAGGCCCCTGGCTCTGGGGGCATGCTCAGCAGCCCCTGCTCCTGCAGCAAGGCCTTCCGGGCCATGAACCGCTGGTGCTGTCGGCTCCCCCTCTTATGCCGTTTCCGAAGCACATCCTTAGCATTCAAGCTGGCAAGGGTAGAGCATAAGCACTGGGCAGACTCAGGAGCTTCCCCAGGTATCATCCCAGTCAGTCCACTGCTTGGGGCAAGGGACGCCAGGTAGATAATCTCTCAGCGGGGGCAGGAACCTGGAGAGAGAACACACAGGTGAGGAGTGTGCCAGGTCACCTCCCTGCACTGCTCCACTGTGGGGCTGCCCCAGAGTCCTGCATTGTAGCTCAGGGCTCTCGTGCTGTCCAGGATTCACTGCACTAATAAACCATAAACACCACATGCAGGTCACTGTTGTGTGACAGGGACTCACTCTATCTTCCCAGCTGAAATAGGGTACTGGCAAGCATTGCTTTAGGTACTGCCTTGGACACTGCTGCAGCACTGCCTACCTGAGGCAAGAAGTCTGAGCTTGAAACTGCCCTGATCAAAACCAGATGGAGGCAGGGCAAGTTCCAACCGGCTAGAACCAAGATGGTGGAGGAACACCAACCCTTCCCTGAATATTCCTCTCCTCATTTAACCTATTAAGTCTGGCTTAAATCGGAAGACCAACAGGAACCAGGGGCAGTTCTCTACTGCAAGGAGAACATACCTTTGCTCTGTCTGTGGAGTAGACACTCTTTAGTTTCTGAAAAAATCTCACTTCCATGTTACACTATCAGCTTGCTCCTGAGTTTGGTTTTGTTTTTTTTTTTTGGAGACAGAGTCTCACTTTGTCGCCCTTGGTAGAGTGCTGTGGTGTCACAGCTCATAGCAACCTCCAACTCTTCGGCTTAGGCGATTCTCTTGCCTCAGCCTCCCAAGTAGCTGGGACTATAGGTGTCCACCACAACGCCCAGCTATTTTTTGATGCAGTTTGGCTGGAGCCGGGTTTGAACCTGCCACCCTTGGTATATGGGGCCGGCACCCTACCCATTGAGCCACAGGCACCGCCCGCTCCTGAGTTCTTCCTTGCATGAAGCCAAGGACCCACTTCTACTTCTCCCAGCATTGGAAGCCATTTTCCTATGTTACAATGACCTCAACAAAGTATTACCCCCATTTTACAGGTAAGACCTCTGAGGCACTGAGAATAACAAACTTGCTCAACTAGTTAGTAAGAGACAAAGATTGCTCTAAATTCATCCAGGTTTTTATGAAAGATTAGGGAAAAAAAAAGCAAAAAAGAGAGAGACAAAGGTTGAAATGAACCCAGAATACATACTCTTAACCTCACTTTTGAGAAAGTTATGGTTATAAGAAAATAAAGGTAACTGAAACTGTATAGCCCCTTAAAAAAATCCCTTTAAGAAATATGAAGGCATAGATCTTCAAAAGTACCTGGAGAAAAAATCTCACAGGCCACTTAAAGGTAGTTGTAGTTTTTGTTATGTGTTAACCAATGAGGTAATTTATTTAAACGACCTTGTAATTCACTCAACATAACAGCATCTAGAAACATTTGAAAGCCCTAGTCTAAAGCATAGGCAGATTTTTGTGGTGACCTCCCACCCAGTTGACCACGAGCTCTCATGAGTGTGTGATGAGAGGAGATACACACACCACTGCTTAAGGTGTGCTGTCCGTGGGAGTCTGCAAAGCCCACATAATAAGGCCATCTTCCCAACAGCAGGGGCCACTCTTGGGAAAACCTCATCTCACTTGTTACGCCAAGCCAGTCTGTAGTTTTTAACAGTCCAAAACCCCAAAACCCCAGAGCGTTGAAGTCCTGCAGAGCAGGGCTTACCCCCACTCTTCCTGAGTTACCCTCACTTGCTGAGTTTTAGTTTCCCCAGTGTGCAAAATGGTCCTAGCATTTCCCTTCCTGAGTGAAGAAGAAATGACACAGCTGGGATCTGGATACATTATCCATAGCAGAGGGCTCAGTAACCATCTGCTCCCTTTTCACAAAGAGGTTAAGACTATTGCCTGTGGTTGGTAACCAGCTCTTCCTAGGCCAGAGCAGCCTTGCCTAGACTCTTCCCCTCTCCCAGTCACAGGTCTTCTCCAGCCTCCCTTTCCACTTACACCCCTGATGCCCTTTCAGACATCAGCCATCATTCAAAGTAACCCTACTGGAATCCCTTATCCTACACTGGCTTGCATCAGGCCAAAGCCACACTGAAGCTCTCTGGGTTTCCACTGTGCCAGGTGGGGAGGGAATTCTAGATTCCAAGAAGTTTAGTCTCACCACAGAGAATGAAGCAGAAAGTGCAGCTGGATCAGAGGTGCTAGTGAGACAGAGCAGTCTGGACAATAGTTTTCTCTGGAAGCTTCCCTAAAGAGGCTAAGTCTTTGTGAACGCAAAATAGTGACCCCACCCCCCAGATGGAAGGAAGGGAAATCAGTGGCCACAGGACAAAGGACTGAAAGGATTGATAAAGGAATAACTAAGGGTCAGGGAAGAACACCCCACATGTTGCTTACAGCTGAAGGCACTGCTCCCTTCTCCTTTGTACCACTTCATCCTCTGCCCCCAACTCTGGTGGCTCTTCCACAAACCACCCCTATCCCAAGCTGGTGTCCCCAGACATGTTTCCACTGGTCAAGTTGAGTTTAGAGCCGCAGAGGCACCTAGGAAGGTCACTGAGATATCCCACAGTACCCCAGACCCAAGACATTGACAGCCTAGCTTGGAAGCAAAGAAAATTCACTCCTCCGTACTCTTATAGCACCAAGGACTCTAAGTTACCTATTGTCCGCCTCCAGGCTCTCTATAGGCAGAGACAGAACCTTGATTGTCTCTGTCCCTTCCCCAACAGCCAGCCAAGAAGCTGGCACTCAGTATGTCCTCCTCATGAACTAGGCCTGCTGTGTGCCAAACTGTAGGGACTACAGAGCTGGACTGACCATCTCCAGGGACTCCTGATTCCATGGAGAAAGGTGGGTAGTCAGAAAATTATAAGGGTCTGCTCAGAATAGGAGTGATGGGACTAAGGGAAAGGACACCATCTTGGCTCAGATAGGTTCTGTGACAGGAAGAAGCACTGGGCTAGAAATAGCAGACACAAAGCTCAGGAGGCAAAGCATGTCCACGGAGTAACTGAAAGGCAAGGAGATAGGGGTGAAGACAAAGGTGGAGGGGAGAGCCAGAGAGAACTGCTCCTGGATGGTGGGTACAAGTCTGGACTTAATCCAGAGATGGATGGGGAAGGATCAAGAAGTTTTAGAGAAAGGGTGAAAGGATGAAAACTCCCTTATAGGAAGAGCTCCAGAGAACTCAAGCAGTAGCCACAGAGATTAAGAGAAACAGGAAGGGAGTGACAGGTAAAGTGAAGCCTCAGGTTTGGTGGTGTTAGCATGAGGACTTCCAGCGCCCTGGGTCAGGGTGAGGCACCAGTGACCCATCCTGACTCATCCACTCTGTTTGCTCATCCTACCCCTCCCCCAACACACCCTCCCCTTATTAACAAATCACATCTTAGTAGCTCCAGTCTATAATCCTAGCACTCTATGAGGCCCAGGTAGAAGGATCACTTATCCCAGCCTGAGCAAGAGTGAGACCCTGTCTCTACCTAAAAACAGAAAAATTAGCCAGGTGCCTGTGGTCCCAGCTACTCTGGAGGCTGAAACAGATGGTTCACCTGAACTCAGGAGTTTGAGGTTGCTGTGAGTTAGACTGACCCCATGGCATTCTAGCCTGGGCAAGAGAGTGAGACTCTGTTTCAAAAACTCCAGAAAAACTTAAAACTGAAAAATGCAGAACCTCCAGTTGTCTCAGCCCAGCAGTGGGAGAACAAAGCCTAAGACAACCAATGCTGACCCTTCTAACAACTGGGGACAAGAGGGAGGCTTTCTTTTTTCTGAGAAGCTGCCGCCAAGGCAAGGTTAAGTGGCTTTCCTGACTCAGCAGGAGTTGTAAAGCCAGAAATTGCTAGCTGTGGTGGCTCACTCCTGCAATTCTAGCACTTTGTGGAGGTGGAAAGGAAAGCTTGGGGTCCTGAGTGACAGTGGATGGGGGTGGGAGGGCTAGAAATTAGGTTCCCTGAGAAAAGGTCTCTGTGGCCACTTGTTTTGTGACATAACAGCAGCCCTTTTTCATATTCTCTGAACTTGCTGACAAATCAGAGCCAATTATCAAGGGCACACCTTCCCCATCATGGGGACCCAGATGGAGCTCAGGGAAGCTGGGGAGCTTTGCTCAAACAGCACAACCCTTTCAACAAGGACAATGAGAAATTTCTTTCCCCAGTCTGGACTCAGGCTGTGGGGTCACCACACCAGGCACCAGGCTTTCAGGTAGGAGTTACTGGCCTAAAGGAAGAGTCCCAGCAGCGCAGTTCACGGTACAAAGACCCCAAAGGAACCATGAAATCAGAATCCCTGGTGGTCAGGGCCACCACCCTGCTGGCCCATCAGGAAAGCAAGCAAGGACCCTGCTCCAGCACTAAAACAGGCAGATGACCTGGGGCAAGTCACTATCCCTTCGCCATAAACCGAGGGCTTTGAATTAGGTCAGGGCTTCTCCAAAGTAATGAATTACCAGAAACAAGACGTCTGTTAAAAAGCTGATTTTCGGACCCACCCCTTAACTGCCGTTCTAGGGAATGGGGCCCGAGAATCTGTATTTTTTAAAAGAACATGCGATCCTTCCCCCCCCACACACACTCTCAAGCCATGATTCTGCTAATCCGCCAAATTTGAGAAACATGTCTCAATAAGGTGCCCTGTGGTACTAAAAAAGTTGAAAGGTCAGAAGTCCGCAGAGAGCCCCGCACGCCCTCTCCCTCGCCCCAAGCAGCGTCCTCCGAGCGCGAGGGACGGCCTGACCTCACTGGGAAGGACTCAACGTTGGTTACGCACTGCAGCGGCTGCCGGGCCGAGTACCACAGCCCAACGCGGCCTGATTCTGGCCCCCCACGCAGACAGGGACAGGGCTGGAGCGGCATCCTGGGCCCGGCCCACACACCTGCCGGCCCGAAGAGCCTGGTTAGCAGAGCCCGGGCGCCCCCGCCGCAGGCCAGGGATCCCCACGGCTCAGCACACACCAAACCAGCCCGCCCGACCCCGCAGTCCTGGAGAAGGGTCCAGGAGCAAAGAACCGGAGCTCACCAGAAAACACGCGCCTCTTCCGGCCCGCACGTGGGGTCCAGACTGCCGGCGGCTAGCACATGCCGGGGCAAGCCCGGCTCCGGCTGCCCGTCTATTGGCTTACAGGACAGCAGGGCCCGCCTATGGACTCCTCTGATTGGCCGAGCCTGCCCTGATGCTGGTAGGCGGGCGAGAATGCAAGGGGAGGGGCTCTTGCAAGGAGCTCGGAATGTGCTGCTAGTGGCTTGTTCCCTGGGGACATTAATTAAAGAGACCGGGAATGGGGGTCGCGGGTCAGGGGTTTTGGTGGGGACCGAGGCTTCTTGTCCTCCCTTCCGGCTCCCACCCCACCCAACTTCGGTCCTTCCGGCTCCCTGGGTCGGGAGTGGGCTTCTGTTAGTCTCTTACCACCAAAGGCTAAAAATTAGAGTACACTCTGGTCTCCAGAATGGGAACAGTGGCCCCTGCCTCCTTGGGGGTTGTTTTGAGTATTCACTAGGCATTAGATAAAGATTTTAAAAGTCAGATTTCTTCCTTTGGCGTTACTATTGTTTATTTTATTTATTTATTTTTTTGAGACAGTCTTACTTTGTCATTCTCGATAGAATGCTGTGGCGTCATAGCTCACAGCAGCCTCAAACTCTTGGGCTCAAAGAATTCTCTTGCTTCAGCCTCCCGAGTGCCAGCCACAAGGCCTGGCTATTTGTAGAGACCGGGGATCTCACTCTTGCTCAGGCTGGTCTGGAACTCCAGAGCTCAGGCATCTTGATGTGAGCTAAGACGCCATGGCACTCTACCCAGCGTGACAATTTAAGACTATGTCTAAAAAAAAGAGAAAAGAATGTTGCATATAATAATAAATAAATATTATAAATCACACAGTAAATGCGAACTACTTACTATTCTTGCTCTTGCCGTGTTTTAGTGCATTGCCTGTTACCCTGCTGCTGCATAAGCAACTCAAGGTGTTTAGTGCTTAATCTGTGTAACCCAGGGCCAAGCCTGTAGTATGAATTTAACACCTAGGAGTAAAGTATTGCAAAAGATTAATTTAAAAAGTAGCGACATAGGCCAGGGGTGGTGGCTTGCACCCATAATCCTGGCACTCTGGAAGGCCAAGGCGGGTGATTGCTTGAGCTCAGGAGTTCAAGACCAGCTTGAGCAAGAGTAAGACCCTGTCTCTAAAAATAGCCAGGTCATTGTGTCAGGTGCCTGTAGTCCCAGCTGCTAGGGAAGCTGAGACAAGAGGATTGGTTGAGCCCAAGTGTTTGAGGTTGCTGTGAGCTAAGATGCCACAGCCCTCTACCCAGGGTGACAAAGTAAGACTATGTCTAAGAAAAAAAAAAAAAAAGAAGAAGAAGAAAGAAAGAAAGAAAAAGAAAAGAAAAAAGAATGTTGCACATAGGTGGCGCCCATAGGGTGCCAGCAACATACAGTCAGGGTGGTGGGTTCAAACCTGCCAGGGCCAGCTAAACAACAATGACAACTGCAATGAAAAAATGGCTGGCATTCCGGCAGGCGCCTATAGTCCCAGCTACGTGGGAGGTGGAGGCAAGAGGATCGCTTAAGGCCAAGTTAGAGGTTGCTGTGAGCAATCACAGCAAGTTAGAGGTTGCTGTGAGCTGTGATGCTACGACACTCTACTGAGGGTGACATAGTGAGACTCTGTCTCAAAATAAAGAAAGTTGCACATAATATTAAATTTTTAAAAAATCCAGATTTAGTAAGGGGAGATTTTATTTGAAAGGATTATTTTGGTGGTGGAGCAGGGGTCGTAAGGGAGAACACTTTGGAAAGGTCAGTTATAAAGGTCAGATTATAAAATCTATTCTATAAGCTCTCAAGAGTTAGGCAAAAAGGATTTTTCTTTTATAGGGAAGAGACAACCAGGCTAGACAAAACAGTGTGGTGAAGTGGAAAGAACAGGAGGGACAGGAAGAGATAGCAGTTCAGAGAATGTTTTATCCTGAGGCTAGCCTATTCTCAAGAGCACTGTTAAGAGGGGATTTGTGCTTGTTTAGGCAAAGGATGGGCCAAAATTCAGGGGAAGGGCAAAAAGCTTAACCAAATTTTGGTTACAAGCCAAACTAAGTGATCAATGAACCAAGCAGTTCAGCTAATCCCTTATGAGGAAAAGAATGAGAATTTGGAGTGTCAGTATCTGGCCTTGTCTGTTTCCCCTTATGACCATGCTTCCAAAGCAAAAGTCCACTGTACTTCCACCCAAGCCTGCAGCAAAGAGGAAGGGGATGACAGTGAACACAAAAGTAGAAATAAGGAAGCTTTCTAAGAAAGGTCAGAGGCCCTCACTGGAAAAGCATTAGGCTTCAGTTGCTCAACTGTGGGAACAATTATTAAAATAAAGGATAAAATGAGAATAATGGCACATGTAAAAGCATCAATTATTACTAAGCAGTGTAGTGGATTAATCATTGAAATGGAAAGATTATTTTGATTTGGTTAGAAAGATCAAAATAAGCATAACATTCCCCTTAGCCTAGCTTTGCTGCAACATTAGATGAATGTTAACCTTTAATATTCTGTTTTGAAGGTGGCGCCTGTAGCTCAGTGGGTAGGGCGCTGGTCACATACACGGAGGCTGGTGGTTTGAACCCAGCCCAGGTCAGCTAAAACAATGACAACTGCAACAACAACAAAAATAGCTGGGCATTGTGGTACTATGGGAGGCTGCTTGGGAGGCTGAGGCAAGAGAATCGCTTGAGCCCAAGAGTTTGAGGTTGATGTAAGCTATGATGCCTCGGCACTCCAACCAGGGCGACTCTGTTTCAAAAAAAAAAAAAAAATTCTGTTTTGAAATCTGTTTTCTGAAATTCTGTTTTCATCTACCTCCTATCTAAACTGTGAGTTGTTTTATGTTCTGTTTGAATTAAAAGAGCACAATAGTTTCTGCAACTTATTATAGTACAGAAGCATTATTATTATTACAGTATGATACTATCCTGTCTTCTTATTACCACATATGAGCCATTACAGTGCATTATTATTATTACCACATATACACTCTTCATCAGGGATCCAAGTTACATACATCCTAAAGACATTCTCAGGAACATACTTTGTCCATAACCTGGGCACTACTTGGAATTGCAAACTGGATCTAAGGCAAACAAGCCAACGGTTAAATCATGTCTGCAGGCCATAGATTTGCTTAACAGATCAAGCCAAGTCCAGGTTTCCTGAGCTTGTGTATCTTCTGGCCATGGTTATGCACATTGTCTCAGAATAGACTTTTAAAAATTATTTTACAGAGTTTGGTTTTTCCATCAACAACCTAAATCCTGACCTAATGGACCCTATCATTTCCCCTTCCACATTTTCCTTTATTTTCATTTTTATTCACTTTGTCACCCTGGCTAGAGTCAGTCAGCTAGTGGCTCAATCATAGCTCGCTATAACTGCTCATTGTCATCTTAAATTTCTGGGCTCAAGTTATCCTCTTGCCTCAACCTTCCAAGTAGCTAGGACTACAGGTGCATGCCACCATGCCCAGACAATTTTTAAAAATTAAAATTTTTTTGTAGTAATGATGTCTTGCTCTGTTGCCCAAGGTGATCATTTTTTAAATTTTAAAATATTAAGGGGGTAAAAGTGTTTTTATAAAGTTTAAGTCAGCGCTATTAGTGAGTCCATCACTGAATAGTGTTCATTGTCCCAGGCTGGTTTGAACTCTTGCCTCAAGTGATCCTTCCACCTTGGCCCGTCAAAGTACTAGGATTATAGACATGAGCCACTATGCCCAGCCACCCTCCAACATTTTCATCCAGAAGCATTTGAGAAATACAATTTGATCTGTTTTGTACTTACAAATAATTAGGCCACCAAGTGGGCATTCTGCCTGCCATGTTTACCTGTTTTGAGGACTATTTGGGGTGTTTGGGGATCCTTATGGTGCTGGAACTGGTGCAGACTTGAAAGGGAGTGTTGGTCTTCTCTATTTTTAGAGCAATTGTTCCCTAAGTGTGCTCCTAGATCAGCAGCATAGGCTGTACCCGGGGTTTGCTGTACCTACTGAATCAGAAAATTCGGGATGAGGGGAGGCAGCAGTATTTTAACAAGCTGATTAAGCGGATTAACAGCTGACTAATAGTTGATCCTGATGCCCGCTCAAGTTTAAGATCCATTGTGTTAGACAGTGTGAGGCTGACAAAACTCTGGGTGCAAATGTGAATAACTCACTCATTTTATCCAAGCAGCTTCTCCTCTGTTAGCACTCTTGATCCAACAGTGGCTGGACTTTGGACCTGCCAGGATACAGTCTATCACCAAAACAATTACGGCACCTTTATACCTTTCCCCAACCCCCAAACATTTCCAGGAGTCTTAGGCCCAGGTAAAGTCTCATACAGCTAAATTTTTTGGCAGGTTTTGGCTGGGGCTGGGTTTGGACCTGCCACCTCCAGCATATGGAGTCAGCGCCCTACTCCTTTGAACTACAGGTGCCTCCCGAGCTAGTTTTCTTTCTTTTTTTTTTAATGGCATATTTCAGGGATTTGATCCAGGGTGATTTCATTCTCTGTCATTGCTTGTTCCATTCTAGACTACAGTTTCTTCACATATAAATATAATCCCTGAGTAAGTTGTCCTCAGTCTTGACTGAATACGTGAAGCTTCGAAAAATGCAGCTGCTTGGATCACACCCTGAGATGTTGATTTTACTGGTCTGAGGTAAGGCCTGAACCTGGCGGTTTATTAACCTTCCCTGGTATTAGTTTGTCTGGAATATGAGAAATGCACTAACGCAGAGTTACCTAGATAGCCCACCAGAGGGCACTGCCTCCCTGCTCATCCAGGGAAACAGGCGCTCAGGGAAGCTACTGCTACAGTCAAGAACTGTGGGCTGGAAATCAGGCTACTGCATAAACCTGGTTGATGCAGTTAAGGTGACGGGACCCAATGCCCTGACCCTTGGATTGATGATTATTTTGTGTTCTGAGACTCCTAGAAAGTTGTCTTAAGAAATAGTAATTGTCTACCTTGCTGAGTGAGCCAGAGGTATGTCACAACCTTTCCAGGCCTTGATTCCTGAATTTTCTTTTTCTTTTCCTT